TTCGAGCCCTCCTCACGCCACTCCGGACAAGGTCGTCTTATGACCCCCTCGCGATCGAGACGAACGAGAACGAGAGAAACGTCTCCGATCTGCTCCACTTCCGCTATTCATCATCGCCCACTAATCAGAGGAACTCCACCGCGGAGCCGACTCTTTCGGATCCAAATAACACCGGCCTGGGGGTGTTCATGATAGCCTACCAGAGCCGTATCGATGTCTGTCTGGAAGTAGAGAAGATCGAGCCACGTTGGGTGTCAGTTTCCGACGTGGACGCGAAAGCTGCAACAACGACAACGACGACGACTGAGTTGCCGATGCTAGTCACCTACGAATGCATTGATCTGAGGCTCATGGATAGCGGCCACTCGGAGTGTATAGGTGGGACGAGTCCGCTGCGCATGTCCGTAGACGCTCGGTACAATGACACGATCTACGTGTCCCATCGGTGCGGGATCCATGGAGTGTCAATGCAGGGCTGGTTGGAGAGTCTTTTGGCCGGGGAGGCCGACTCGGGCCGGCTCGGTGACATTATCGAGGAGAGGACCGGCAGCCTGGTTGGCTGGCTGGTTCAGACTGCCTCTAGTGGGGACTCAACCTCCCAGGGCGCGCCTGGGATAGCCGGGGTTAGTGTGATCGATGACGCGTATCTGGGGTACAGTCTCATGGCGCTCACCGACGATGACCAGCTAGTTGTGCTACCGCTCAAGCATCGGCCCATGGGACTCTCAACGGGGGCTCTCACGGGCGGAAAACCGGAGACGGCCGGGCCGGTCCTGCAGCTTATGCCACCGCCACCGGTCGAACGCCGGTCGATCAGTCGGGGCCCGTCCGGCTTGTTAGGCGATGGCTGGACGGTCCCGGTGCCTTTGGCGAGCGATGCACGGGGACCAGGACTCAGTAGACCACCGGTCGACTCTTCCACAGTCACATCTGCCATGCTTCGCTACGGACTCCAAGTTTCCAACCGAGTCGACCACTACATCCGTCATCTCGTACGAAGCCATCAACCTGGGGCAAAGCCGACTGGCACTACA